ACAGGTCGCATTACGTCAAAAAAATTGGAATTGAGTCACTTCAGGCTGCAGTGTGAACGCACCCTAGGTTACAGCATAGGGTAGAAAAATGTTCTGACACGACTTTCTCTTGATCAATTTTTTTACATGAGAGAAACTGAATTTTTTATAGGCTTTTGTGGACTTTTTAGAAATATATTCTTTGTCTTATCTGAGACAGAAACTCCTCTGATCTCATTTTTCCCTGATAGTGCTTGATAACTCATTCACATAATTATCTCAATTTAGCCAAACAAAAGAAGGACCTTTCAATGAGCGTCATCCTTCACTGGGGATGGAAGCCCACCTCGCACTTGTGAAGAAAATGATCCACGTCCACAGAAAAATGGTCATCGGCTCTTCCACCTTGAAATCATTTTCCCTCAAACTCAGCTTGGAAGTTTTAGAGTAATCATGTTGACAGGCAAACAAATAACACAGTGATTATATCCCACCTGACAACAGCTTGGTATAAAGTTTATATGGTATAAAAGATAACTGGTGACTTTTTTGTTCTTCCATTACGTAGTTGAATACTTCAAAACACACTTTTTCAATCAGCAGTACAATAAACGCCAATGAAACTCAACCAATCTGTTGGGGGAGTGGAGAGTGTTTATTTGGACCTCTCCTGCCTTTAACAACCAATTCCCTTAAAGTTCCAGAGCCAATTTTGAGTAAAGGTTAGGGCAGCGGAGGGCCCAGCTGGACGACAGCAGGTTTGTGATGGAGTGAGTGTGGAGTGGGTGCGGGGTGGATGTTGCGAGACCTCCAGAGGTGAGGGTGATGACAGCACGGTGACAGCTGAAGGGCACTTCAACGGGCATGGCTTGTGTACCTGCAGAAACTGCCACACACACATGCATACACATTCCCCACATCCCTGTAGTCCCGACAACTCTCCCCACGCATATACAGTCTACCTCCAGGCCAGTTATTCAAAAGGCAGTAATGGCGCTAATGAGAATCTGCTACGACTCTACATGCTGCCATCGTTTAAGGGATTCTTCACCACTGCTAATAATCTGACATTTTAGGGTTTCCACGTCACTTTGGATTAGCTTAGCCAGCAAAGTTTGTCAGACTGGCTGACAGGCCAAGAAAAAAACTCATTTGTTAACACTCAACTATTCAGATTGGAGCTTTTTGAGCATTGCAGTCAGTACAAGCAGCAAATATTTAACAGCTCACTTTGTAAAGTGAGAAACTAAGTGAGAGGCTTAAGGGTTTCCAAGGAACTGGATGTAGAGTGGCGTTTGCTTTCCTACGCAATTCAGCTTGATTCTCATCTCCTTTCAGTGCTCAGTCTGGGATTTTTATCATTGAGTTTGATTACTCAAATGAATAAAGGTTTTTAGTTTTTGCACTGCTTTAGAATTATGGCTGTAGTCAGACAGTGGCATTATTGTTTTTGTTGTGTTTACTGCTAACCGAGCCTAGCATAGTTTGAATGTCCTACACTCCGAATTTAGTGCCTCTTACAAGACTGATGGTGTTGTGGCTTGTTCTGTGTGTTTCAGTGTGACAAGATTTATTGAAATTGTCCTGTGCAGATGTTTCTTTTTTATTTTTTAAATGTGTAGTTTGAAATCTAAAAAAATATAGGATATTATGGAAAGAAGAAAAGTAAAATGGCAAAAATTTCAGTAATCAAACGTGCAAAACTGGCAGCAAAAGCCATCTATTCAAGACTGGTGAATACAAACGTTTACCAAGATTTTATTTGTAATAAAATTAAATAAAATCTATTATTTTTCTTGGTTGTTCCATCATAAAATTTCAACTAAAGATTGTAGCTTTAATGTGATGCACTGCAAAAAAAGAACAAAAACACAAAATCCTACAAAGTGTTTATGATCTAGTTTCAAGTGCAAATATCGTAGTGCACTTGAAGACAAAACTAAATTACAAGTAATAAAAAAGCACTACTTTCACTGGCAGATTATTTAATTTGTAACGACATTTTTCGTCCATATTGTAAGTGAGTAAGTGAAATAATCTTATTTTTTCATCAATATTAAGGAATTACTGACTTATAACAAAGCACCTATATCTTGCTGAACATTCACTTCTAAGTTAGTTTTGTCTTATTTTAAGTGCACAAGAAACTAGACCCAAAATACTTTGTAAGATGTGTTTTGCAGTGAACAATGTGAATGTGTTTCATGAAAAGGTGTAGGAATATCTTAGCAAGTCACTGCAAAGGCGAACGGGTAGTGAGCGATCCCAACATACTGCGACTGTGAATCTGCAATATGAAGCAGCATAGTAGTCATTGTTCCCATCTGTCAAGAGATCGCACTGATCAAAACAATTGAAAGCAACTTTACACAAAGTCAAAAAAAAAAAAAGAAAAAAAAAAAGCTTCAAATCTGCAGTGCAGCAAAAACTTCACAGCCAATCTTCACTGAGCCAGGTGGATTGGACCAACGTCTAGAAATTCATAATTTTACTTTTGTTGCCTAAATATAGCCTTTTATCTGCCATGTACAATTCTTCAAAAATGCTTGAAATGCTTAGAAGCCTCATACAAGTTTCTAACCCTCAGGCCAAAAATGTTGCAGTTATTCTGGAAAGACATAATATGTCTGCTGGACAAAATCATTTTCAATGACCGCCGCAGCATTTAATGCCTTGAGATTGGTAGTGAAAACATCCAGAGGTCACCTTAACAAGCATTTGATTAACATTTCTAAGCAATGCAGAAATGTTCTGCTCTGAAATTCACAAAATCCACAAAAAGCTCAAGGATAAAGGTGATTGCTTCAAAATCGTGTTTGAAAGATACAACAACTGTTTGTTTTAGTTATGGATCCCAAACAGCAATAAAAAGAGCATTAGATACAAAACATAATGCCTCATTTAAATGTTTTTTTCTCATTAAAACAAACGACAGAAATGCAACGTCTGCTCATCGTTGCGACAACCTTTGCATGCTAAACAAGTCGCAGTTGGTCTTAACTTGTTAAAGCGCAGAAAAGGAAACCATCGCAATAATGAAGCTTGCTGGAATAATGAAAACATCCATTTGGTTTTTCTTCACCTGCCTGACAGTAAAATGGCTTTATTTTGATTTAAAAGACAAAGAAACATTTCTGCTGCAGAAATTAAACATCATCTCATCTTAGACCGTAAGCGACAGAAATGCAACGTCTGTTCAGGCAATCGCTTGATGCTTAAGAAGAAGACGGAAAGACTGTCATCAGATCAAATGCCCCATTTTCATTCTGGGGAGCTTAGATAAGAAAAATGAAATGTTAACTTCCTGTCCTAAACTACCCTAGTTTCCATGCAGCTGATGTGACTCACTAACATGTCATTCTTGGGACTGATATAAGCTACCATTGTGTAAATAGCTTTTATTTTTCCTCTCTTCAATTGTCTCTGTAAAAAACTGTCAACTGACTGTAAAAGAAAATGGTGTGAATGACTTGATGTGAGATTGAACAGCAAAAGTTGCAACTTCCTGTATCAATGCTTTAATCTTCATTTTTGTCAAGTTTGTTTTTCAATAATTTTTCAGCATGAAAAAAAGGTTGAAATTCATTTTTTTAAAATGTACCGTCAAAGAGTTTCACACATCTCCAGACAAAAGATGTTAAGAGTTTTAGAAGGTGGAGGCAATAAAGAAATTCAAAAGACAAATGCAAAAGCAGCCTTTTTGGTCACTACTAAATGTTTTCAAAGAAGCTAATTTTATTTTCTGATAAAGATAGCCTATCCAATTCTTTATGAAGTTAGTTCTTCACCTAGTCATTTGATGAATTAACAGGGAGTAACCACATGTACTTGTTTCAATGTTACACCCAGGCTTGATAAATAAATAAATAAAACCATTCTGTCTGAACTTAAAGTAGGCTAGAAGATTCGAAAAACTAAGACATTATTAGATAACTTAGAAGCAGATTCTGTAAATGGAGAATTTGGCTAAGGTTGACTGAGAAGAAGCGGATAAGCCCCTGGAAAAGGAGTTAAAGTGATTCACATCCATCAGTCTGGAAAACATCACAAACCTCAATGAGAGCAAATTTCCACAAAAGGGAGAAATCATGAAACAGTAGTGAACTTTCCCAGAAGTTGCCAAATTGCCCCAAAAGCTCACTGGCAACTTATCCAGGAGGTCAAAAAACAACACAGAACAACTTTTGAAATACTGCAGAGACTGGGCAAAGATGGCCTCCAGGAGAGGTACGGGTTAAATAAAAACCATTGCTGACCAAAAAGAACCCCAAGGAATGTCGAAAGTGAGGATCCCTAAAACAAACACACTACCACCACTATGTTTAGACTGTCAGTATGACGCCATCTGTAATGCTGGGCAACTATGTGGGCAATAAATACCCTTAGTTAAATCCTAATTAAGGGGCTATGGTGTGACTTTATGCAGTCCGGTCAGGGATGAAATAAAACAGTTCTGAAAGAAGAGCGGCTCACAGATGGCACCAACTCAGCACTATACAGTTGTAAGGGTTTTCCACTGGTAATGGTGATGTGGTATCACATTGCTCTGCTGGGGTTCCAACCATGTGATGTCAGAAGATTGTTGTTTACTGATTGGCTGTTTGCGTCAAAAGAGTGATTCCCTTACAACAATTTGACCCGCCATTTTGTAAAACCTCATAGCAGCAACAGAGTTGTTTAGAGTGTGTTTCTGCACACATCCCATAACACCAGCATGAACACAAGATAACAGCTCCTGAATAGCAATCCACTGTAGTGATCACAAAGCATGACAGGGCTAATATGTAATTATCCATGGTAATAGAGACTTGTTCAAAAGTTGCTCTGGAGTTTGATATCAGTACCAGAGCTTAATCTTCTTACACTGATCAGACAAATCCAGCTTAACCGAAATTTGACAGCATCAAACATAAATAGAACCACAAATCTATTGGGATGGTTGTTTTTTCCCCCCAAAACAGGGGAAGGAGGAAATCTATATTTCCTTAAAAAAATAAGTAAATAAAAAGATTCGGACTTACTTCTCGTCGTCGTGACGCCCAGCAGCTCTGTTTGATTTTCCACACCACGGCGGCCACCAGCAGGAGCGACAGGAAGCAGCTGCGGAAAAGTGGGGAGATGAATAGATGAGCAGGAAATTCGGAGACAGATTGAGGACGGGACAAAAACTGGGAGGCTGAGGAGTTATTTTGCGTCGTCTACACGTTTATGGAGCAGCATGCGAATTATGTTCTTAAAAAGCAATCGGCTGAAGTTAAGCCTGCAGCTAACCACTTCATCCAATTCCAATGAAGAGAATCATAACAAGAAAAATGTTTTACAATACTGTAAATCAGCTCAATCATACCACTATTAAATTAGGAGAAGTTTCTCTAAGAGGCCCTTTTTATGACAATCCTAGCACTCAAACAATGTAACATTCAAAGATTCCACCTGCTTTGTGTAGACAAAAGGAGAACTCCTGCGGGGTCGCGACTAGAAGCGTCTTCACAGGTACAGTATGTAAAACAACTGTGGATGATGTCACTGCTCCACAACATGTGGTGAAAGTGTTTAATGTCAAACAGAGGCAGCATCTGTTCAGGCCGGTAAAAAAAGGCAGAGGAGGTAGGCAAGGCACAGTAGGGCGTTCGGTTTAAACAACTCCAGGTAAAACAGCTTTAATTGGAATGGAAATCGTTCTGTGTGCTATTCTCATTCCTGGGTGGTTTTGAGTCGGCGTCTCCCTTTACCTGGATGTAAAGTTACAGGGCAAAAGAGCAACTATAGCATCAGGGTTCCCATGACAGCGAAAAACAGAGTGGACGCTGTGTACTCACACCTACACAGACTAAAGTCCATCAAAATCCTTTTCAGTTCATGCATATCGGAGCATCTTGACATATTGTTGGTATACAGAAATGTTAACAAAATACACAAGCTAAACCGGAAATGATTTAGAGAATTTACGCTAAACTTCCTAGTATAACTTCCGATTTAACATAAATTACATTTTAGCATAAACTCTGTTGAGCCTTTTGACATTTCACTGTACTTGTTGTTGTTGCCATGCAGGAAGAAATCACACATTTGCAAAGCAGAGTACCACCATCAATCAATGTTCGCCGCAGCCACAATCGCTATTCTAACTCCGACTCAGCACCAGGTGAGGCTGTGTGTCTGAATAAAACCGTTTCAGACCCAGGCTGTGTCATGTGACTGTACCGCTGTAACCAATCGGAAAAATTAACTACTTAGGCACCGTTCAACCTAAGGAGGCCAGCACCATGAAATTTATGAAATAAACAAATTTACACAAAAATGTCAAAATTCACACAGTAACATAAAGAGAGAACTGTAAATGGCCTGTTTAGAAAGTTCATCAGCAAAAAAAAGAAAAAGTTGACTTGCAGTTTAGTTGCACTTTAAACATGCAAGGGTACATACATACATAAGGGTATGTAGGGTACAAACATACATAAGGATGCAAACATGCATCCTTATGCAATCTAAAAAAAAATGTAGGTCTGTCTTCAACAGTCTGAGCACAATGTTTGTCTTTTAGTTGCTGCAGGCTTATATTATCTGATGGGTTATTATTCAGCAATAAGTCAAAAAGTCCTAATGAGCCAAGCATAACTAATTTGACAGCTCGATGTTTCCAGAAGGAGATTTTAATCAACAAAAAAAAACTGCAGGTACAGTGATAACATTTGTCACTGTAATGAAAACATACACCATGTTGTCATTCAAATTGGCTAATATGCATCAGAAGCACCTCAACATGCTGTTGATATGACATTTCTACAGAAATTTAATAGTACTTTTTAAGTAATGATGGAAAGAATAGATTTTATCTATAGGCACCTTTCAAGACTCAAGTTTGCTTTACATCAAGAACATCATATGAACAGATCATGAACAAAGGTTAAAAAGTACGGTGAGGAGAGGAGATTATGTAAGTAATAGAAGCCATAAAGAGGTTGGTGTCGAGGATAACACCCAGATTCTTGACTTATGGGTAACAGAGAACAGTAGAGATGTCGATATACAACAAAAATTTGACCGATTTGGAGATTGTGGATTTTGTGCCAATAAGAAGTAATTAAGTTTCATTTACAGTACGTATGAGAAGGTTATGAATCAAGACGTCAAGAAGGGGGGAGTGGGGCGGTGATGTGGTGGGTTTGAAACAAAAAGTTGAGTGTCATCTGTGTAAGAGTGGAAATTGGTACAGTAATCTCTGAAAAGATTTTGGAGAGGAAGAAGCGAGCATACAGCCCTGGGGCACACCACTGTTAATTGAAAGATGAGCTTCAATAAATACACTGACATGGTTTCAATTCCCTCCCCAACATCTGGAGCCCAGACAGCCGGTGAAGATCAGGGTTTTACTGTGCAGTAGAGGTCCCCCTCCCAAGTCTGCTGATTTAGATTTTCTAAGTCTTATTATTTCTGCAATTAAATCTAACAATTGACCATCAAATTAAAAAACTCTGCCATAGGGTCATTGATGCAGGTAATGGGTTTTATATTTTTCTAACCTCAAAACAGCATTCAGAGAATGTGGTGGTGTTTCAGCTTTGCTGGAATTACTATTACTTTTTCGACCTTTGAACCTCTTATAATCAGTGATTCAAAAATTAAACTATTTCAGTAACTGGTTGATTAACTGGGAATAAAAAAGGAGGTTGAAGTTTCAAGCAAATGCACAAAAAACTCAATCCACTGGATGAATTTAAGGTGGCCACCGGACTGCTACAAAGATGTGTTGTATCAACCGGTGAAAAAGAAAAAAAAAAAAAAACTTTTCTTGTTATTGGCATGTAGTAGAAACAGGCTAATGGGCTGTGATTTTCTTCTTTTCCCTTCAGTGTTTACTGGGCTTTTCTTCTCCGCTCAAATGCAATACATGAACAGACTTTCCAGGCTTTCTGAGGTGTATTTAATTAGAAACTCCCACGCTGAAGCGTAACATCTTTTTACTTTCTAGTGAGGCAGACTTTTCTCCAAAGATTAACAACCCCAATATAAATGCCTCTCCTGTTTCTGGTATTGAAGGTAATGCTTTAAGATCCTCGTTCATCGCACCCTCACCTGCACCCCCAAACACACACACCCCCAATTCGAGTGACTCTTTAAGGAGCCATCCATTGAAAATAAAAAAATAACTCCCTTTTTCTCCCTCGGCTGAAGAGAACTCTTCAAGAGATCCATCCATTCAGTCGTCTTATTGATCTAGTTCTCTGCTCACTGCTTCAAGAGCGACATTGTGCTGATGAATGATCAACATGAATGGAAATGAAACTCACATCAAAGATGTGCTTCTCTTCTTAGCAGCGTAAGGGAGGGGGGGGGCGAGAGAAGACAGCAATCGAAAAAAACGGAGAGAGGGTAAAAATTAGGAAGAATGATTGTAGAAATAACCAACAGATTCACAGCAGATGAGAGATGAAAACAGAAAATTATTGACGATGTAAAAAGACAAAGAAACAAAAGACAGATCAAAGGACAGAAACATATAGAGGCGAACACCGTAAGGATGACACAAACAGAGACAGACCAGGTCGCGCACCTCATTAAATCTCAAGCTCCACAAAGAAAACAAGCCTAGTTTGCGGCGCCTCAGATCTCACCTTCCCATTACACCGACGTCTCACGCTTCCACATGGAGCAGAGATGAGCAGCTACGGGCCTCCGCTGTCTCTGCGCAACCACCTGTGACAATCACACCTTGCTTCTTTGATTCAAATGCACCGACATAAATCACAGAAGTGACAGCCACAGAGAGAGTTCACGGAAAAAAAATCTGAGGTTTAAATATAATCTTTGTCTCTGTTAAGTACCACAATAAACACGCTGCCGATATTCACCCACATTCTCATTTCGAAAACCTCCCTTTATAAGTCAGAAAACATCTTTTGACTTTAAGAATTTCGGTGCCAAAACATCAGATTATAGTGTTCAGATTTCTGTCGGTTCTGCAGAGGGTTGATCTTGCTGCTAGTAGCCCAAAGGGCAGCAACACCCACCACTCACTGCAGAGATCTGTCTCAAATGCTGTGTTTTCATGCCTTTTCTAAAGCAGCACGGAGGTAGCCGACAAGTAGACTGAAAGCACTCCAAGGTTCAGTTTGAAGAAAAATACCCACAGTGCCTAAAATAAATCCACTTCCACCGGCAAACTTCCTTAGCTGGAGTGCTAACGACTGGTGATGAACAGCCTCAGACCGTTGACAGTGACAGGTGAATGGAAAGCAGGTTCCTGCTCTTTAATGTGGCAACTACTCCAACAGCAACGTTGACGGTACATGAAGGTAATACAGCATTTATTTCATCATTCTTGTTGTAAAGCACTTCGTCAAGGTAGATCTGATTTGCTGTTATGGTTGTAGTGACCAACCAAAATAACACCAAAATGGAAACAAAATAAAACTTTGGGAATGATTATTGACGATTACTGTCTCAGGTCAAAATAAGATTCTTTGTTTTAGAATCTTATTTTGAAGCAAGAAAGGACAAAGTTCCCAACTTGATGCCTTTTTGACTGGAGTTAGGATGTAAGAGCAGCATCCTAACTTGACAGAGTCAGCAAAACAAAGAGTGGGTTACAAAGGAAACCTCCATTACTTTTATAATGTTTGTGAGGCAGCATTATGAGTGAAAAGATAAGTAAAGTAACACAGGACACAACTGATTCAGCATGGTCAGAAAACCGTGACTGGGTAGTTTGTATCAATGCTATAGTTGGTTTCTGTTTAGCAGCTTCCCATTAGCCCTAAGGGTTTTTTTTAATAAATACAGTCTGTTTGAGCAAAATATAAAAAAAAGTAGACTCAACCATGAAATGGATAATGATACAGAGATTGTTTAAGCCACTTCTATGGTTTAGTAAAACTTCATTTGATTTATTTGAGACACAAAAGGGACCGTTTTCAATACTTTCTTTGGAATTAGACAAGCATAAATGGTTCTAGTCAAAACTGGTATACAAGGTAATAACCTGGTTACATATTTATTAAAGCAAACCTTCACTCTAGTTTTTGAAAACCAAAAACTTAATGTACCCTCCTGTCTAATGACTGGGATGTATCATCACACCTAGCTGGAAATAAAAAGGC